TTTCAATCGATACCAAACGTGATTTAAAAAAAAAAAAATAGAATCTCAAAAATTGGGGGCACCTGCCCCAGGACCCCCGGGTCCGCCCATGCCTATGCCCATCCATAGTAAGCAGTCAAATTAGCGATGACTGTCTTCACGTTTTTTTATTTTTTTATTTATTATTTATTTTTTTTAATGTGGAGTACCTTCCTAAGGACTCTTTTTCTTTTTCTTTTGAAGATATGACGACTTTATAAGATTATTTTTATGGATATTTTTTAGTTGTTGTGTGATTATTTTACTTATTAATTGATTTTGCTATTGTTATACAGTCTTTTCCTTTCAGAATTATTTATATTACATGCTGTTTATAATTTCAATAATTTCGAGGACTTTTCTTTAGGATTGGGTAAAAAAACTCGTAACTCGAAAACCTGATCTTGCCTAGTTGGTGTGAGTTTAGGCTTTCTTACAAGTTGGGTCATGAATAGTCAAATTGGAAGATATGTGTATCTGGTCGGTTTACGGGTTCAAACCGATCCGACCCAAAACATTAATGAACATTCAAAACAAATATCAAAGATGGATACAATATGTCACCTTCTAATAATTGAAAATTTATTAAATGACAAAATAATAATTATCTTATTCACTCCATTTTAATATATAATTTATCTTTATTATATTTTGTTACACAATCATCTATTTTCGGGTCCACAATACATATTCGTCTACCACACTTGAATCCAATCACAAGCGCCAAGGGGTTAAAATCTACTCTTGATAATGTGGATCATGTTAATTATTGAGACAAGTCTGCGTCACCTAAGAAATTTTGACGATCAAGTTAGAGAAATATTTTCGGAAGCAGTCTAAAATTTGGGTAAGGTAGATCTAATTAATTCCAAGTAGTTTCCTCCTTTTTTTACGATCAGCTAGTTCCCTTTTGTACGTCAAAATATTAGGGGTCGTTCTCTTTGTTTTTCAATTTTGTGTTTTGAGTNTTGTCGTTTTGAATTTTCTTTGTAAATCTTTAAAAGTGATAGACAAACCATCGATGATCATATGAAAAGAAGGGTTTCTTTAAAGAAGTCAAGAATAAAGACCTTAAAATGTGTTTGATGGATATTACTGAGAAAATTATGTATTTTAAATAGTGATATGATATGAAATATGTAGTTAAAAAGTACGGAAAAATTATTGATGTGATGAAAATTATTATTTTATTGAAAAATGTGTAATTGAAAATGAGTTTTGAAAAAATGTATTTTGAAATAACGTGTACCAAACAGGGACTTAATCTAATTTTTAATCAATCGACTAAGATATATTCAACATTTGGACCACTTATCTTACGTGTAATGTCTTGGCATATCATATCTGACATATACTCAATCTCACAATAAAATCAACATGACATTGGTAATATTTTACTTAATTCATATGTTACCATTAAACCATTTAAAATTTATAGCACGACAAATCTGTATTTATCTGGTCCACTCCATTTTAATTCATAACTAATCTTAATTATATTTTCCTACACAATCGGGGAGGGTCGACCTATTTAGCATCTTTTATAAATTTTTATTTTAGTAGCTTTCGTCGGTTTTAATTTAAGATATGATGTATACCATTCTAAAATATGGCTAACATTGTTTGTGTTTAATAAAGAACCGATAATTTAATCCTATGGTCTTTGGTACTCAATATTGGGTTTAAGAAATTTGGTGGGGACTAAAATTAGGTTTTTAGTAGATTGTGATAGAAGTTTTTGAATTGTGCGGTTGAAAAGGTGTGGGACCCATGAAAGATGTGGTTAATATTGATTGTTTGACTTTGAAGTACTTATATTAAAATATGATTTTAATCCGAAACAAACAGGGCCTAATGAATAATTTCGGTGATGAAGATACATATGTACGAAGATGGATACAGATACGAATGGAGTATCAATTTTAATCGTTTTTGGGTTATCTTTTTTATTTATTAATCTTTCTAGGAGTATAATGACCTTGGTGCAATTTTAATTAGTTGGCTATGTGGTTTAAATGCTCCTATAAACTAGCAACCCCCAACAAACATTGGATTACATTTTTTTTAAATCGAAATTAATATATGGAGAGTTTTTTTTTTTTTTTTTAACGATATACGTACATGAATCAACGAATCATAATCATATTTTAGGGATGCGTGGTTTTAAAGACTTGGAATAGAGGTAATAAGATTAATAGATAATTTCTTTATTAACTTGTGTGTTGTCCAGAAACGATAAGTAGCTATAGTTGAGAAGAATTTTTGATTTAGAAATATATAAAAATATTTCTCAAGTAATAGATAAAAAATATATAACTAAGAATTGTGAGCAATAGAAAAATAAGAACGAAGAAAATATATTCTCCGTTTAGGTAAAATTTATAAATTGAGTCAAAACCAAACATTAATTTCAACCACACATTTTGGAGGATTCACTGTATTTCGAATTCTAAACAATTTATAAATTTGTTAAAAAAAAAGAATCAACGAGGTAAAACTATCTATTTGAAATGAAGAGACTATTTACTATTATTTTACATTTATTCAACATGCTACCTTATATTTAGATGGAATATTTTTTTCTCATCGACGTTTGAAATATGCACAATTTCATTAATTTGATGGTTGCGACAATATTTGTCAACTCTGTTATTACATGGAACTATTTAATCTAAAACCTTAAAGCGTCACAAATAACCACATGTATATCAGGTAGATCTCGTATTCAACAACTATATAATCACTTAGAGAGCAGTATAAAAAGCATCATATACTTTCATATCTCAAACTTGTTTCTTAGGAGTCTCCAAAAACATTCCTAATCAGAAGAAAATTTGATATTATGGGTTCCCTGACTGCACCCAAACTTATAGTAGTAGACTTCACAAAGGAGGACATGAAGCCAGGTTCAAGTTCTTGGTCTTCTGCATGCAAAGACATCAGCAGAGCCCTTGAAAACCATGGCTGCTTTGTAGCATTATATGATAAAATTTCTCCCCAGCTTCATAAAGCTATATTCCACGCAGCTGATGAGTTATTTGATCTTCCCACAGAAGTAAAAATCCAGAATATAAATGAAAAACCCTACCATGGCTATGTGGGGCAAATGCCTATTGTGCCCCTACATGAAGGTTTAGGCATTGATTATGCAACAACACTTGAAGGAGCTCAAAGTTTCACAGAGTTAATGTGGCCTAATGGAAATGATTCTTTCTGGTATGTTTTACCAGTATTTTTTGGTTGAGTATCATAAATTATGTATATTTTCTAACAGTATTCACAATCTGATTATAGTAAAACCTATAAAAACATATTACTAATGAAATTTGTTCTTCATGTCAGTGAGAATTCAATGTCCTTTGCCAAGACTGTAGCAGAGTTGGAAAAGATTGTGATAAGGATGCTATTTGAAAACTATAGCGTGGAGAAATACACAGATTCTCACATTGAATCGACTACCTATCTTCTCAGGTTCTTGAAATATCGAGCCCCAAAAGCTGACGAGACTACGATGGCATTTCCCTCTCACACCGATAAGAGCTTCCTCACCATACTGTATCAGAATCACATTTCTGGCTTGGAAATTAGAGCAAGAGATGGGGAGTGGATCAATGTGGAGTTCCCCCCATTGTCCTTTGTAGTCATGGCTGGCGATGCATGCAAGGTGAACACAAATCGTTATTGTTGAACCATCTTTTCTTCAATCTTAGCACCTATCTGGCATTCATTGAGTAGTCGGGGAAAATGAGTTTTGAAATAGTGATTTTTTGAATAATATATGATTAAAAAATATGAAAAAAGTTTTGATTTTACGTGTAAAATATTTTATTATGTGTGGTTGAAAATGAGTTTGAAAAAAAAAAAAGTTTTAATTTAATAGATGTCAAATGGTGGCTTAAACTATGTGTTGGGAGCGCTACTATTTACGAAGAATTGATTTTTGTACTGTTGAAATGGGGCACAACTCTGCCATTCTGTAGATGCCCACACATTTTGACCATTCTAATGTGATTTAATTTTTCCAATTGTCATTTTTGTCTTTCATAAGTATAAAATCATGAAGAGACAATCTTGTCATTTTACACGTCCAAATTATGTGACAAATTAAATGATCACCGTTATAAATCAATAACGGTGGCGACATAGGGACCCACCACATTTCCAACTGTTGAAATTTTGTTAAAAAAGTGGTGAGAATCCCATCTAGACAGGTGCTATAATTTTATTATAATTATAATTTTAAGCGACACTATCATTTTTCTATCATATACCTAAATAGAATTTTCATAAATTGGCATCGTCCTCCCCACTCCTGCCCACTGGAAAATGAATTCAAATTATGCAATTATATGTATGCTAATTTGTTCTTCCTTGGCTTAGGCATGGAGTAATGACCGGGTACTTTCTCCGAACCACAAAGTGACAATGAACATAAATGGAAGAGAAACTAGATATACCATTGCGTTATTCTCTTTCCTAAGCTGCATGGTGGAAGTACCAGAAGAGCTAGTTGATAATGAACACCCATTGGAATTTAAACCATTTGTTCATGTCGATCTTCTCAAGTTTTATGATACAGATCATGGACGGAGATCGCAGAATATACTCAAAGATTTTTGTGGTATTTGAAATATATATTTTGATGTAAGTGTTGTGAGGTAAAGTGGGAAATTGCTATTATAATTATGCCTTTAAAAGGATGTGTGTCATTCCTAATAATAAGGTTTTGTGGTTGTTCAGGTTTAATTTCTGAATCTGTGAATATATTTTGTGTAGTTCAAACATGTTCCCAGGATTCTGTCGTGTATTTTTTCCTAAGCTTTCTGTCGTAATTTTTTCTGGGCGAGTCACGTCGGTTTCTGCTACCATCCCAATTCTACGTATCTTCTTTGTTAATTATGTACATTTATATTGCAGGTAAAAGTGGATTTACCATATGTCAAAACTATCCGACCTTATACTTTTGATTTCAGCTCAAATATAATAACAAAATCTAAGACT